TTGTTATGAACTCATCAGAGACGTCAAGTCATGTATGACAGTCGTTAAGATCTTGACGTCTTTAAGACAGGTCTGATAACTTGAATATTTGAAGTCGCCCTTGTCGCGATGAGTCAGGACCCTTTGTTATGAACTCATCGGAGGCGTCAAGCCATGTATGCAAGTCGTTATGATCTTGACGTCTTTAAGACAGGTTTGATAACTTGAAGATTTGAGTCGCCCATGTCGCGATGGGTCAGGACCCTTTGTTATGAACCCATCGAGATGTCAAGTCATGTATGCCAATCGTTATGAACTTGACATCTTATGACTGACCTACTCAAAATTCCAATACGAGATTGCCTTCATAACATACTCATTATACATGTGCCATGTCAAACACTCTAATATTTTTTTATTATTATTTTTTTTTAATCTTTGATCATGGACAAGGTGCACGTAGTGGAATTCAATGAAGGTTCTCGATCCTATCTTTCTCTCGTCGACCAAGAGGCTGACAACCCCAAAACTGGCACGCGTCTACAAATTCGACAATCATTGCGGCGGCCTAATGGCATGCAAACAAGTATTTGTAAGCAAAATTTCCGCAGTGACATGTCTGTTGAAATTGCTAATATCTTCGACACCACAAAGGTTTACAAGCTCCAAGACACCCTTCAGAGTAGACCTGCAACAGACAATTTACTTCCCTTATTGGGTCGTTCTATTATTGAATGGTCCATAATATGGGGATCCGCTGTTTTAAATATGTATGGCGAATCATGCTTCATCCTAGTCTATCGAGAGTGGACCGAGGACGTTCTCTATCGCTCGAGGGAAAATCTGAAATCAGCATCAATCTACAATGTTGTCTATGCCTCACTTTACTCCTATGATAAAAATTCGCATATTTTACGAGCATTGTGTGAGAGTTGGTGCCTTACCACAAACACACTCCATACAATGGCAGGAGAGTGGTCCATTTCACTGTGGGATTTGCACAGACTTGGTGGCTTACCCATTTATGGGGAAATTTATGATGAGACTGTCCCTCATTTTGCAACCCTAACAGCAACAAATGAGGACAAAAAACGGTACATTTCAAAGCCTTGTGAGCATTTGTTTGTTTCTTATCATTGCCTTTACAAAGAATCGGGCTCAAGGAAGGAGGTTCCAGCCAAAGAATGGATTAGATTTTGGAACCAGAAGAAAATTTGCTATGCTGCACCGCCAAAGAGGACAAGATATCTCTCGACTCCTCCACATTCTACACATGACCCTAACGGAACGTTACAGACGTACCTATAACGTGGACAAATGAAGAATTATCCATGTTTGAGCGTTTAGGCCTTCCTGAAAACAATAGAATGGGAATAGCCTATACTGCTACTTTCTTGTCTTGTTGGTTATGCGCATTTGTACTTCCACAGTGTGATACTAGATCGATAAGACCCGAGACGTTTGAGAACGCAACCGGCTTGTGGTAAACCGTTCAGCTTGGCAGTTCCTGTCCTGGGAAGCATTTATCATGGTCTGAACGACATTTTGAGGCCTCCCAAGCCTTCTTATTCTAGTTCATTCTTCCCGACTCATTACTTGTATAGTTGGCTCGCATACTATTTCGAAACTCATCACAATCTGGATTTATCTCTCCAGGCCCTTTAATGACTGTATTCTTGGGTTCTCAAAGTTCAAAGCATTTTAAGGATAAAGAAGCACGAGATCTGATACATGAAGGGACCACAGCAAGAGTTGGGTGTACCGTGCCGAATAAGAAAGAGAACATCGCTTTGTTTGATAATGGGAAGCTCGAGATTCCACAGTTTGGCTACCTCATCTCCCTTCCCTCAAGCTACATTCTTGTATGCTCCGGTGATAAATTTTTTATAGAGCATTACAATCCTCATCGATTTGGTAGACAATTTGAGTTTTGTCAAGATGTTCCCGGTATGCTTACGCGTGCCATGGATGATCGTCAATCTGTAGGCTATTATGAAGCTCTTCGGCTTTGGGACTTGATTTTGTTTTGTGGCAGTCAATCCCGGGTGTTGACTCCTTGTCTTTCCCTGAATTGGCGTGACCTTGTAACTCGGGCTTTTCGGTCATGGTGGTATAAAGTGACAGTTAATGACCTTTGAGACAAGGTTGACGTTCTTTGCTCAAGTATTGAAACTGATCCCAACAAGTCTAGGAAGAGCCAGTAACATGCTGGTGACACAAGTGCTCCTCGATCGAAGACCAATGCTAGTAGTAAAAGGAGTCATGAGCCTCTGTCCAGACAAGGAAACTCTAAATCGATGACAGCTAGAGATGTCAGCCAAGGAAGAAGCTCTAGTACGTGACGGAGAATCTGACGTCAACTACATAAATAAACGTAGGAGTAAGAGGCGATCAGACGTTGTTGATGAAGAGGACATCAATTTAAACGATGCGGACTCCTTTAACGTTCTTCAAGATTTTCTTATTGTTCCTACTAACATACTGCTTGTAAGTATTCGATACTTTTTCTTCTTTTTTTTTAATTGATATTTTTTTTTCTTTTTTTTCTTATTTTTAGGATGATCAAGACTTCGAGAGTGTCTTCGCTGACTTCTTAGAGGTTGAAGCTATTTTACCTATACCGAGACCAACTGCTGGCAAGGGGAAAGCAATAAGGATCGCCACGAATAAAGTTCGTGACAATTCTCCCAGTTTACCAAGGAAGGAAATACAGTCTCCTACTCAAAGCCTAAAGTCAGTAGATGGTCCTCATTCTCTTGAGCTTGCCTCCCACGCTTTAGAGTTCGACAGTCAGTTGGTGATGACCGTACAGCTTCATCTCAACGTGTTTGCGCTCCTACTGTGTCTACAAACACGTTTCGACCAGGCCCCTTCTCTAGTACTATTTTTGCAGATGTAATAAAACACATAGGCGATCAATACTTGGCAATGTTGCAAGCGTCACCTTATTCGGAGGTACCCAAAAGGTTTGAAGAAGCGTCTATGGTGTATCGAGGTATACAAAACCTCAAGGGTGACCCGGCTCCGCTGAAGCATAAAGTTGAGTCTTATGTTTGTTCAGTCAAATCCTACCTTGCTTTGGAGGAGGCTGCAGCGAAACGACAAAGATCTGAACTAGTAACAAGAGACATACTTGCTCAATCTAAGTTTCTCAAGCAAGCGGAGTCCAACCATGCTAATGAGCAGAAAAGGCAAGAGCAATTGAAGGAACAAGATGCCTTAGTCACAAAAAGAGTAGAAGACCTTGAAGCTAAATTAACAAAAGCTTGCAAAGAGAAGAATTGTCCAACAGATGACTTGGTGGCTAGCAAAGGATTTATCAAATCAATTGAAGCACAAATGAACGCTGCGAAGCAGATTTTGGACGCCTTACATGCAACTCCTGTTCTGAGTGCTGATGAGATAGTCCAATTGGAGCAACAGAAAGTTCAACTTCAAGAGCTTCAGTCCATGCTCAAACCTTCTGAATGGATGGATTGAGAATAGACTACCCCTTATTTATTTATTTATTTTTATGGTTAAGCTGTTGAACAACACTACTTTTTTTTTTACTTTTTTTTTTTTATTTTGATCTTGACATTTTATTTTATTCATTCTATCATATGGATTTATTTCATTACTATTTCGCTATACACAGTTTATACTCTTGCGGGCCAGGAATAGGGATTTTTTTTTTGTTTAGCCGTACACAGTTTATACTCTTGTGGGCTAGGAGTTCTACAATGATGATGATTTTTTTTATGTAGCTGCACGGTTATCTTGCAAGACCAAGCCAACGTAGTTCAAATAATGTTTTTTTTTTTTTTTTTGTAAATAGTTTATCCTCTTACTTGGGAGTTTACAAGGCTTGCACTTCATGAATAGTAGCGCTTTAAAAACTTGCCATTAATTGGACCTACACGCAATCCCTCAGCATCAGCAATTTTGTATGCTCCATTAGTGTAGACTTCTCGTACCATATAAGGACCATCCCATTTTGATGTGAACTTATTTCCAGTTTTGCGCGAAGTAATAATAGGCCTTCTCACTGCCAAGACCATGTCTCTTACTTGAAAAGAACGAGGTCGAACCTTTTTGTTGAATGCACGTGTCATGCGAGCTTGATAACATTGCAATTTCTGTTGAGCTTGTAATCTTTTCTCATCATGTGCTTCAAGCTCAGCCAATCGAAGCTTGTAATTTTCATCACTAGTTAAATCCTCTTGAATGGAAATTCTTAGTGATGGAATTTGAACTTCTAAGGGTAGGATAGCCTCAACATCATACACCAACGAATATGGGGTAGATTGTGTTGCATTCTTGTATATCGTCCTGCATGCCCAAAGTGCTTCCCCTATCTTTTCATGCCAATCACGCTTAGACTTTGCAACGACCTTTCTTAGCAAGTTACAAAGCATTTTGTTAAATGCTTCAGCTAGACCATTTGCAGGAGCATTGTACATGGATGACTTATGTTGCGTGAACTTGAACTTTTGGCAAAGGCTATGCATCAAGTTGTTGACGAATGGCTTTCCATTGTCAGTGACAATTCTGTGAGGAATTCCATACCTGTAAATGATATGGGTGTGAATGAAATCGACAACATTTACTTTTCTCACCTCACGAGGGGTAACAGCTTTAGCCAACTTAGAAAAGTAATCAGTGGCAGCTAGTATGTAAGCGTGACCACCAGATGACTTTGGTGTGATCGGACCAACCACGTCAAGACCCCATCCGTCGAATGGCCATGATGTCATAGTTGGATGTAGTGGTTATGGGGGTTCGTGAATGAAGTTTGCATGAAATTGACATGCTTCACACTTTTTAACAAACTCCATGAAATCTTAAACCATTGAGGGCCAATAATACCCCGCTCTTTTGATACGATCATGAAGCTTAGGACCAGATTGATGAGCTCCACAAATCCCTGAATGACATTCCTCTATTATTTTGGTTGCCTCTTCATCTTCTAGACATCTCGACCATAGCTTGTCAAAAGATCATCTATAAAGAGCCCCTTTGAAGAGAACAAAATGAGAGGCTCAACGGCGAATTTCTATTCGATGTCGTGGATCATTAGGCAGCTTTTGGTGATCCAAATAGTCGATGATTGGTTGACGCCAGTCTTCTTTGTCAATTTGGCAGATAGTGATCATGTCAACCTCCTTGACCTCGTCATCTTCAACTTGATATTCTTCAGGTGCAACTACCCAACGATTGCAAACAGGCACATACATGGTTTCCTCTGCCCCTAGTTCCAAAGTGGCTGCAAGACCAGCAAGCGCGTCAGCCATCTTGTTGGCACTCCTTAGAACATGGCTTAGCTTGACAATGTCAAACTTGTCAAGCAATCTTAATGCATGTTTGTGATAAGTAATTAAATCCTCTTTATTGACTTCGTATTCGCCTAAAAGTTGACTTATAACGAGTTGCGAATCTCCATAAACATCAAGATCTTGAATTTCCATTTCAACCGCCATTTGAAGACCCATAATAAGAGCTTGGTACTCAGCCATGTTGTTTGAGCACAACTGAGTTAGCATAAATGAGTAAGGTAAAACGTGCTTTTCTAGCGACACAAAGACTACCCCTGCTCCTGCGCCGTCTTGACGAGGAGCCTCGTCAAAATACATTTCCCATGGTGGTAGTATTTCGATGTTAAACACATCTTCTCCAGGCAAATCAACGGACATCTCCCATTCAGGTGGTACTGGATGGTCGGCAAAGAAATCAGCGATGGCTTGTCCTTTGACAGACTTTTGTGGTACGAACATTATATCGTACTGTTTGATGTGTACAGCCCATTTAGCTAGTCTTCCTAACAACACTGGTCTTGAGAGGATGTACTTGATTGGGTCGACTTTTGAGACGACATGGACTGTATGAGCTTGCATGTAATGCTTCAACTTTTGAATGGAAAAAATTAACGCAAGACAAATTTTTTCAATTGGTTAATAATTCAGCTCAGCACCCACCAACGTTCGACTCAAGTAATAAAGAGTTATCTCCTAGCGATCGTCAATTTCTTGAGCACACATTGCCCTCAATTATCTTTCTTGAGAAACTATGTACAGGATTAGAGGTTTTCCTTTAACTGGTGCCCCCAAAACCGGCGGAGAGGATAAATACTTTTTTATATTGTCGAACGCTTTGTTACACGTCTCATCCCATTTGAATGGAGCATCCTTTTTCATGAGATGACTAAATGGTTGACATCTTCCTGCAAGATTGGAGATAAACCTCCGAATATATGCAAGGCGCCCTTGGAGACCGCGAAGTTCTTTGAGATTTCGTGGTACAGACATTTCTTGAATTGCCTTAATTTTGGTTTGGTCAATTTCAATTCCCCTATGTTTTACGATGAAACCTAAAAATTTTCCTGAGGTAACACTGAACGCACATTTGAGCAGATTCATTTTCAATTGACATTTACGTAGCCTTTCAAAGATTTTGCGAAGGTCACCTAGGTGATCCTCCCTCTTTTTAGACTTAACCACTAAATCGTCCACATAGCACTCCACGATTTTGTGCATCATATCTTTGAAGATCTTTTGCATTGCACGTTGATACGTGGCCCCGGCATTTTTTTAAACCAAACGGCATATCTTTGTAGCAAAATATCCCTTTTGGGTTGCAAAATGTCGTGGCTTCTTGATCTTCAGGCGCCATGTGAATTTGATTGTATCCAGCTGTGCAATCCATGAATGACAATGCTTCATGTCCAGCGGTGGCATCGATCATGATTTCTGTGACTGGAAGTGGGAAGTCATCCTTGGGACATGCTTCATTCAAATCGCGGAAGTCCACACAAACTCGTAGTTGCCCATTTTTCTTCCTCACAGGGACAATGTTTGCTATCCATGTAGGGTATTTGACTTCACGAATGAACCCTGCATCGATGAGTTTGTTTACCTCAGATTCAATTTTTGGGATCAACTCTGACCTGAATCGCCTTTGTGATTGCTTCTTTGGACTCACACCTTTTTTAATTGTTAATCGATGGACGGCGACTTTCGGGTTAAGACCTGGCATTTCTTTGTAACTCCATGCAAAGACATCTTTGTACGCAGAGAGTAATTTGAAGTACTCTTGTTCTTGCGCTTGAGTAAGAAGAGCACTAATGTATATAGGAAGTGGGTCTTCGAAAGTGCCAAGGTTTAACTCTTTTAACTCATCTACTGTTTCTTGCCCCCCGTCTTCAAGTGTCTTGGGAGCTTCATCAGTTTCTATTTCCTCGTCGGGATTTGGCACCTCTTCAGCCGTCACATGGTTCGTGGAAACAATATCCTTATGCTCCTCTATAGCATGGTCGGATGACTCATTTTGGTTAGTGAAAACCGCGGTGCGAAATCTTGCCTTTAAAGGTTGTTTCTCAATAACATCTATGTCTTGCTTTCTTTTCATGCGAGAGGGAACAACACTTTTCGACTCATCATTTTTCATGACATTGTCTTCCCTTTTCTTTATGCGACTAAAAGCTGACTGTCTTTGTTCTTTGCTAGAGGCACTTGTCATGCCTTCGCGGTCAAAGACATATACCTTTTGTCTTAAGGGTTGCGAACTTGAAGTTTCTTTAACCTTATGGTCACATTCTCCAAGCCTATCGAACACTGAGACATGATTCCTCACAGTAGATGGTTGAAGTCGATTAAATACAGAAGTTCTGGGTGTGGGAACATCGTTCTCACCTTCACCTTCCTTGAATTCCTCGGCAGTAATGTACTGTGAGGAAGAAGCGTCTACTTTACGCCATACACCAATTTTGATTGGTTTGGGGCGCTGAAACCCTAGGCCTGCCTTGGATTCTTGAAAACTAGAGCCATAGTCAAGTAGTTTCTTCTGAGTATCATTGAGTCCGTTAGGTTTAATGTCTATGACCTTACCCATGGGTGTTGGGTTTTCAAAGTCATATCCTGCCTTTGCCAATAGCTTGTATGAATTTTGTCCGAACTTTGCTTTGTTAAGCTCTTTTGCCTTAGATGACTCTGTTGATAACTTAGAAATTTGGCTTTTCGCGCCTTTACCCAATGGTAAAGTTGTTTTACTGTTCAAGTTTTTTAGAATAGTGTCATCAATTGGCTTTGCTACCTTAGCATCAAGGTTAACCTCTCGACCCACAAAAGGTGATTCTCCCTCCTTGCGACGTGTTTTTGGGATGTATCGCAAAATAGGAGTTGACAACTTTGGCTTTTCTTTTATGACAAGCTAAGAGACACTCTTTTTGTCCACTTCTACCTTTTGTTGAGACTTCTCCTCAACAAGAGATGTCTTTTTGTCATTTGAAACCAAAGTAGTGCTCTCCTTAACTTCTCTTTTTCCAGTTGAAAGGACTTGGGAAGGTAGTATCTCACTTGACGCTTCTTCTTCAAAAAAACTTGGCGTCAGCAAAGTAAGAACCTGCTTTGCTAAAGGGTTTGACATCCCCATTTATCTTCTTTTCGCCTCCACGATAGTACTTGAGACATTGATGGAAGGTCGATGCTACCACACCATTCTCATGCAACCAAGGGCGTCCTAGCAACATTTTGTATGATGTCTTTGTGTTAATCACATGAAAGAGAGTTGATGACGTTAACTCTCCCATTGTGAGTTCAAGGCGTATTATGCCTATTGCATGCTGACTGTCAAGGTTAAATCCTTGGATCACTATTGCGACTGCTAGAGAGTTCATCCATCTTGATTCCTAACTTTATCATAGTGGATTTTGGCATGATGTTAACAACAGATCCACCATCGACTAAAATGCGACTCACTTTTTGTTCACGGATATACCCTGACACAAACAAGGGTCTATTGTGGGGTTTTGACCCCATTAACATATCATCATCTGTGAACGTCAAGGCTGCGTTGTACGACACACATTTCGTGGCATCTTCTGCAGGTTCTCCAGCATTTTTCACTTTATCGGCATACAACTTTGGGTGTTGAAGTGCAAGAGATAACTGTTGACACATTTCTTTAGGCAAATGAAAATTTGCCTCCATCCCATGCGTGAAGGAAGAGCATCCAAGAAAGTAGATATTTTTGGATTTACTATCACCTCGGATTGTTGTACAACTGATTTTGTTGATGTATCATCATCAACTTGTTCCTCCTCACTTTCCACAAAGGAAACCGTATTCGCCGTAACCACAGTAAAGTAGTCTTCCGGGAAATATTCCTCCAAAGTTACAGGAGACAACAGCTATTGCTCAAGAAAATCAATAGGGAGGACCTTTTGCTTGCTGGCCTTTTTTGCTTTCTTTTTCCCCTTTGAATGCTTGGATTTCCTCTTCTTTTGTTGCTTTCTTTTGCGATGAAAAGGTTTTGGTTTAGGATTATGCACTTGTTTCCTTGGCCTTCTCCTAGTCACCAATGTCCACCCTTCGTCATCATCTTCATCTCGGTAGTTAACATGTGTTTGGTGTTCAACCTGAGATGAGACTTCGTGTTGAATAGATTGACTCTCAACAAGTATGATCACAGGCTCCAAACTTCCAAATTGCAAAGTTTGAGCCTGAAATGATGGTTCACTAGCTACCGAGGCATGATTTGATGTCACTGGCTCGTCGATATCTAGCTCGATTGTCCCATCCTTTGCCAATTGCATAATTTTCTCCTTAAGTGTTATACACTTTTCAATAGGATGACTAATCAACCTATGATACAGATAATAATTGGGATCGGATGTCTTGTTCATCTGCTCAGGGCGCTTTGACTTAGGCAACTCGATGATTTTGTTTTCCAGCAATTTGTCTAACATGCCAGACAGGTTAGAGTCTGGGAAAGGGTACTTCTTAGCTTGAAGCTCTTTCAAAGTGGGTTTATCTTTCTTGACAAATCTCAAAGATGAACCCTTACTTTCTTCTTTCTTCTTTCTTCTTCCCTGAAATTTTGATGGGTGCAGAAGAAATAGTCACAGACAACGTCTCCTTAGTTGAACTATTGGAGGACATGTCATTTTTATAATACTCCTTTTTTTCTTTCCTGGCTTATGAAGCAAGCCCCTTTTTCTTCCTGTTGTAGGTGATCGAGAGTTCCATGTCATGAGTTCTCGTCGCCAACTCCTTACAAGATCTTGGTTTGATACCCTTTAGGATGTAATGTAGTTCCCAACTCATCCCATTAATGCACATTTCTATGGCAGAAGTTTCAGTGAGTCGATCCTTACATTCCAAACTTAGACCAGCGGTTGATGTAATGAATGACTGGCTCATCATCCCACTGTGTAGTTTGAGTTAGCTCAGTCATGCTAACGACACGCTTAGTGCTGAAGAATCGCCCCCAAAAACTCCATTTCAATTTGATCCCAATTGTCAATGGACTCAGCCTCTAAGTTGGTGTACCACTCAAAAGCGGTTCCCTTAAGAGAACAAACGAATTGTTTAACAAGTAGGTCACCCTTGGTACCACCATTGCTGCACGTCTCTATGAAATGTGCAACATGTTGTTTTGGGTTACCCTTTCCATCAAAGAGTTGAAATTCTGGAGGTTGGTATCCAAACGGCATTTTCAGCTCATCTATCCTCCTAGTGTAAGGCTTCACATAACGTCGACTATTATATGAACCTCCCCCTCCAAGTTGGCTCTTGACAGCATTGACTATCATAGCTTGAACTTGTTCAGCATTGATTAAATTTTGTGCCCCATTTGGCTTTAATTCCGCCGATTTAATGCTACCATCTGAGCTGTCATCACTTTCAGTCTCAATCGCTTTTTTTCTCAAGTTTCTTTGTCAAAGCAGCAATTTGTTCATTTTGGTGTTTGATTTGAGCATCTTTTTCCTCCCCATCTTTCTTCAGCTGTTCAAGGGTACTGCTCATTTCAGCCATTTCATGTTCGACCGTCTTAGTGTGCGTCACCATAACAGCAACAAAAGTAGGTTCATGTGAACTCACACTACACTCATTCTCAT